TCTTTTCAACATCAAGTGCTTTATGAAAGCCCCATACTTCTGCACTGTAACTTAAGACGCTATTAATATAAGTGTCGAATACAGAACATTGTGTTTTGATATTAAAATTATGATTTTTGAACTTTTAACAAAGCGCATAATATGCCTTATTACCTTGATCTGCAACATGCTTTTGAGTGATATACAATTTACCGTTGTTATTAAAGAGCATGCCTAGGTTATTAAACTGGTCGACGACTTGGAGCGCTTTAGTGTCGTAAAACCATTTTTCGGTGTTTCTTATCCCGCCAACATTCCTGAAAACTACTATTTTCGTCTTATCAGTGTTCAAATTGAGTTAGTACTTGTTATTATATGATTTCAGAGCTTCCAGAATATGTTGTAAATTTTCTGGCGTTTCTGCAAATAGCACCGTATCGTCAGCATACATTACAAGAAAAATGTTAATTAAATTAATTTCAATAGATGGACAACTTTCTTTTATGAAATGAATTTCACAGTCATTGACGAACATGGAGTATAAAATGGGTGAGAAAATTTCCCCCTGGAAAAGACCGATTGTATTTGAAAAAAAAACCTGAATGAAAATCATTGTGCTTTACACATGACTTAACTGAACTATACAACGATTGAATTTTACGTAACATTTTCCCTCTAACAGCCTGCTTAATCAATTTGCACCACATATGAGATCTGTCGATTACGTCAAAAGCCTTCTTGTAATCAACAAAGCAACAGTAAAGTCTACCACCTTTTCTACTTAAATATCTATTAATTAAAGTCTGAAGTACAAATATTGCATCAACGGCTGAATGTCCGGGTCTAAAACCAAATTGAGCGTCTGTTATTACATTATTTTTAACATCCCAATTCACTAGTCGTTTATTCAATATGGAGGTAAACATCTTCCCCATACAACTGACTAGAGTAATGCCCTTGTAATTATTTGTATTTTCTATATCGCCTTTCTTATATACTGGGGTGATACTCTCAGTAGACCAAGCTTCAGGGGAGAATCCCTAATTGAAAAATATAATTAAAAAGTTTGATTAAATATGGAACAAGTATATCCTTGCAATCAATAAAAAGTTCATTAAGCATTTTGTCCCCACCACAACTTTCATTTCTACTCAACTTAACTTAATGTATTGCAGAAATAACTTCTTTTTCTGTAATATGGTTGTCGAGTTCTTCAAATACACATGACAAATTATTTTCATCTTAAGTTGTTTCGCCTATCTCGTGAACTGGATAACCTTGACAACTTAAATCTTTAAAATGATTGTAGAATTTGTCAAGAGAAATTTTGTTAGAACTTTAAATTTTCGTTTCGAAAAGTATTTATAAAAATGTTTCGGGTTGTGTTTTCTAAGATACTCCATCATATCACCCTCCTGTCGCTGATATTCTCTTTTCAGTCTTAATGCAAATTTCTTATAATCAGTTTTTTTCTCAATTAATATTCTATGATTATATGTAAGGCATCTTTGTATATATTATATTTCTGCTTACATGGAAGATTAAACCAGGGTTTATCCTCATGCTAAATAGTTGTTTTCTTTGAGACATTATCAGTTATAGTTGACTTACATCTATGTACATTCACAGTGGTAAACAAATCTCATTTAGAAAAGAACAAAGTTTGTCAACACATACTTTGACATCTGACTTGTTTAACAAAGGTGTAACGAGGAGTTTACTTAATACATTGGTATTTTGACTAAGATTTTGTCTAATGAGTTTACGTTATTATCACTCAACTTTACATTTTCACAAACATATCTAGCATGAGTTTGATTTCCAGGTAATTCTTCATCAAAATTTATATCTAATCTCAATTAAAAGATAAAGGTGAGTGATCAGGCATAGTTACAACATTACCAGACTTAAATTCTTTTACATTATGAAAATTGTCACCCTCAACTAAAAGGTAATCTATAAGGTTTGTACCAATAGAACTGAAAAAGTAACACTTCCATCCGGGTCACCTGAGTGACGTCCATTTAATATCCTAAAACTAGTAGATTTACATTCGTCTGCTGGATAACCGATACACCGGTAGTGAAGCGGACGTAAAACCTATCAATCAATCAATCAAAAAAAAAAGTAGATTTACACAGAGACAATAACTTTCTTCCAAAAGAGTTTACAGATTTGTCCATGCTTTTCCGCTCAGTAAGATCATACACTCTATCAGATTGATAGTCAACAGCATCAATTAATACATTACCATCGTTACCCAAGCCATCATTAATTATCATATCAGGTCTGGTACCAGTTCTGGCATTGAAATCTCCAGTTATGTGCACTTTACGATTTGATCTATAATTTATAATGGAATCTTGCAGAATTTGAAACAAATCTATTTCTTCTGTGTTATTTTCGCAGAAAATAATTTTTCGGCGGGAAAGTAACAAAAAACAATGTACCTATAATATTTTTTATTTTTTTCAAGTTTTAACCATATTACGCTTTCGTAAATATTTTCAACTATCGATATATTGTGTTTTAAGCAATTTTTATAGAAGATAACAATACCCCCACCGATACCAGTTTTCCTCGGAAAGACATATTTACAATAACCATCTAACTCAAATTCGTCTTTCTCAGATAACCAACATCCACCGAGACACATGATGTCATACTTGTTGATAATAATTACCAATGTTCCACGACAGTACCGACAGGCCTCGCTCAGCCGTATACGGTTGCGCGTCACTCTCCGCTTGATCCTATGCACGATGATCCGAGTTACCTGCAGCAGCTGTAGCCGCGTAACTGGCCGCCGGGGCCGACTGTCCCACCCTATTGCCAGAAGCCTCGTGATCACCATCATGCAGTTTGCCATTTACATACAGCCTGTCTCTTACAAGTCTGACGGAGGGCTTTTCTCCAGAACTTTTGAGACGCTTTATTACAGGATAGAGTTTCTTACGGCGGTCCTCAATAACGGCGGGAAACTGTTCATGGATACCAAACGGCGTACCTTGTAGTTTGTACGAATTGTTTGTCACTCTTTGGAGGTCCTGGTAGTGGATGAACCTAGCTACAAATTGGTCTTTGTTTTTCGCTAACATGTTTTCCAAATCTATGGATCTTAAGCTCGTAGAATATGAAGTCACGTAGTTTATCCTCCGTCACTTCTTCCCTTGGTTGCCACCAAGACCTGTGAAGACCAAGTTGTTCTTCATAGAACGGCACAGCAAGTCTGCACTGTGTCAGATTGTCTGTTTTGCTCATCAATCATTCCCTCCATCTTGTCATTAACAGCGTCCATTTCATCTTCTTCTTAGTTTAAAAAAGAAAGCAGGGCTAGACCTGGATTCGAACTCATTGGAGAATTTCTACATTTATGACAGTGCTCAAGGGTCTTATGCTGTCATTGTGACTTACCCTGCTCCTTCTTTGAGAACGTGAAACTTGCTTAAATTGACTAGAATAATCACACTTATCGGTGTTTATGGATACACGGTAGTCTAGTTGTAGAACGCCAGGCTCGTGACCGAAGGGTTGCGGGTTCGAGTCACGTCACGGCACTGTGTTGTATCTTGCAGCAATATAATTTACAGTCTACTCAGCTGTAAATGAGTACGTGGTTGGGCAGTGCTAGAATTGTAGAATGCAACCAAAAATGTTTTAATCTTATTACAGTCAGAAGCATAACAGATGAATGATTTCCAATCAGAATCTGCTAGTGTCTTTCTGGGGTAGTCGGAGACCTACCATGACGTGACGTCAAAATTAAATTATGATGGATATTCCCCAAATAGTTTTCAAATGACGGTCGCCGATTGGCCGGAACTGTTTACCATAGAAAACCCGATCTTTTACCTGCAAAAATGACTGTTCGACCATTCTGTAAAACAGATTGTTGAAAATGTATTTTAAACCAAATGATCAGATCACAAAGTACGATGAAATAAATTCTTTTTTTTTTACATTTTTTTTTACTTAAATCTAAGGACTGAACTGTTTCTTTTTAATTTTTATGACGGTGTGCAGAACAATTTCGTATGAATATATTCTCACAGATTCATCATGGAATATTTTTGAACGGATCTCTGTTGCATACCATAAATGTGAAAAAGGTGTTTTCAAATCTTAAAAAAAGACTGAAGATTGAAATCAGAAACAATTTAACAGTCATAACAATCTATGAGTATAACATGAATTGATGACAACTTGTTAAAATAGAGATATCAAAAATTATTGAAAATGGTATGATAACAAACCGTAATACAAACTTATGTATTTTACCAGAAAACAAATAAATAAGAATTTAGAACATTAAATTTTCTTTCTGCATAAATATTGAAGAAAGTGTAACAGGGTTTTAAATATATGTCCAATGCAAGTTTTGTCGATCAGAATATGATGGCAATGTTGTGTATAAAGTTTAATCATTTTGCAAAATAATAGTTAATACAACAGGCATGGGCGGATTGGTCGAGTGGTTTACATTCCAGCCTTCCAAGCATGCGGCCGGGGTTTGAGCCCCGAAGTCGTCGTACACATGGATATTCAGAGAAAGTGTTTTGCTCTTGCCCACACAACTCCAACAACCCAAATTGAGTATAAAATGGTCTGGGGTCGATGTTGCGGTATCTGTGCTGTAGCATTCAAGTGAGGTGATACTATAAATGATGCCGTTGGAAGCACGGTCCCACTACAAACAGAACACAGTACATCTCAAGCACACACAAAGGCATACACACAAATGGAAGATATTAGCCAGGTGGCATAGGACTAGAAATTAGCGCATTATAAGGCAGCTTCTGTGAATTCCTCAAATATTGTATTGATTAATGTTTATGCTAATTGTATTAATTGTATATCTATGTAGTATAAAGCGCTTTAGAGTGACCGATGTTAGCTAGATATGGCGCTATATCAAATGTATATATATTAGTCCTTATTTTCATATCTTCCTGTGTCAACGTTTTATATTTATACTGTTTTTAAGAATTAAAAAATATCTATGATTCCTTTTGTACTTTCAGGTCGAAGAAACCAGTATGAATTTATTAAAGACGTTTTGTATCTTTGTGGTTATCACTGGATCTGTCGGATTTATCTACTTCCGGTATTCGTCTCGTGCATTTAGTTATTTGTTTAAGGAAGAAGATGCAAGACAATTCCAGCAGGATTCAAAATATGTTGAACCTTACAGAAAGCAACCCCCACTAATTACAATGTTTACGTCATGGATGACCTTCCCTAAGAGATTCAAAGTGTATAACAGCACTTTACGTAACTGGCCTCTACTACAACCTCATGTGAACATCATACTGTTCACCAATGATAAAATTCCGGACAAATATAAACAGTTAGGATGGATGGTGCTACCAGTTAGACGACAAGTCAACGGCCACCCCGTTCTTAAGGATATGTTCATAGAAGCCATGCAACTGCAACCAGATTCAAAACTATATGGATTTGCTAATGGGGATATACTTTTTACTGATTCTTTCATCAAAAGTTTACAGGAAATTACAAATTCGTCTTTAGTTGTTAATCGGACATATATGGTAGTGGGTCGCCGGATGGACACGCCGAATGTCACACTCAAAGAAGCAAGTTCTTGGAAGAATATTGAAAGAGCTGCCAAGAGAGGAAAGTTGATGAATGAATGGTTGGGAATCGATTACTTCATTACATCCCCAAACTACCACTGGAAAGATATACCGGAAGTTCAAATCGGCCAAAAACTCTATGATAATTGGCTGGTACGGGACGCTCGGAAAATGGGTCACGGGGTCATTGATGCTACAAGCACTCTTCTAGCAGTTCATCAAAATGCACCCTACCCTGCACGCCACGGGAACATGAATCAAAATCATAAATATTTTACCGAATCCTATCACACTATATATCAGCAGGGAGTAATCGCGTGCTGCAGGTTTCACACAATGTATACGAATAATACAATAAAGATTCGGAGACGGAAACACATACCAAGACAATGCACATTGTGATAAAGATGTAATAGCTTGGTTCAGTTCCCTCCTTGACGAAATGCTTCAATCAAGTGTGTTTTGCATTCGGTTTTATTTTCAATCAATGTTCATAGTAAGGATGTATTCGACATTTATCCTTGGTATATACATGTTCGAATGCTTGTTGATTTTCTAATGAATTTGTTCTTCATTTAAATCAATTTCCATCACAGACTTTTTTCTTATCTTTGATATAATCTTTGTTTCTATTAATGTTAGTAATAACTGTGAGATAGTGTAACCGCTTTTTAAGATAGGGCAAATTCAGTCGGGAAAAACAGCTTACATGCGTCTGTCGGCAGACAATTCTGCCAAAAGACGTCGGCGTTCGAGTGAGTTCTTCTTTGCGGACTTTGTTAAATTATTTTTGTACTTTTTATAAGATGCATGAACTGATATATTACAGATGTTAGATCACCGTAACCTTTGTGCTTAAAATGGATTTCTGATATTATGCTCAGTGTTCATAACCCCTACGAAGTTAGCATTATTAAATTCATGCGCGCCTGTCATGGAAAACAAACATATGATGACGTGTATAGTATTGACACTGGCGAGCCTATTTCGAGTCTGGGAGAAAAGGAATCAATATACAGGAATGTGATCCAGACTCTTAACCGCTGGTTGAGATTTCCCTGTCTATGGAACTGACCCATGTAAGATTATATTAATCAACGCCCTTACACCGCCGTAGAGTTACGCCCCCTCCTCTCACATACTTCCGCCGTCACAACCTTACACCCTACAAAGAATAAAAACGTTTACCATCACAACTTCTACTACTGGAAAACAACTTCTCTCCGTCCTTCGCTACGTTTATCCACTCCCGTAAAATTATATTATACCTCTAGTCCTTCAAAACGTTTACTTCCACAATCATAGGACCTTTTGGCACCACACGCTTTTACCCTTATTTTACATATACCATCATACTGTATACTATGACGTTTTAGCAGAAGTAAAATGTTCGCCTTTTTCGGCCTCCGCCATGCGGTCGAAATTATCATGACAGCGACCCTAAATCAGTAAATAGCGTTCCGTATATTGCAATAACATGTGAAGGGCGAAATTAACACGGGATTAACATGGCTATATAACCGATAAAGGGCAAATATTTGGCTGGGCGAAAGTTTCCATGTATACAGTACATTGCAGTAATATAAATCAATAAATAAATGAATCTTGCTTCTTATTCCCGCAACCTACTCTTACTTAAACGGAAACTTCCCGCGTCTATTGCATACACTGCATTCCACATGTTACACCGTCAATAACTATATCCCCTTCTTACACCTTGTCCCATTATATTGCCAACGGGTGAACCAGTTGTTGCCATTACCATTAACTCTGAACGTTAAGCAGGGAATAACAACTACATTTTAAAGGACTTTTGTATTCCAGGCCTGGGGACAGATCCCATTACCTTTCCCACCTAGGTGAACGTTCATCATTAAAGCCAAAAGGAAGATAGTTTCAAGCAATGCGCTTGGAAATATAAGGAAGTTAGAATAAGTGGCATATAAAGATACAAAATATTACAATGAATGCAGTAGATTTATTTTCGTTGCTTTCGTGTTCCCAAACAGAGTAAACCTGCTTTATCCTACTGCATGCCTTAAGACGCGACTACAAAAGTGTTAATCAGTTTCCACCAATCTCGTGTCGATGTAGACATACATTTTATTTTACCTGTTAATTTTAAAATATATTCACTTTTTGCTTTCCTAATGACATCGACACATGTATTTCTCGCCTGTTTAAATCGCTGCCAATGATAAGGATAGAGTGTGCGTTTAGCTTTTTCGATGTAGTCTCTTCCGAACCCTTATTAATTTCCTAACTTCATTATGCATCCATGGTGGTTCATTATGTCTTATTAAACGATTTTATTATGAATACATTTTTGTGTGGCTTCTAAACTGATAGCATGCGAATGCGAATTCATCAATGGCTAAGTTTTCAAGTGGGCCATTCCAGTCAATATCATTTAAACTATCACAAAACATTTTATAATCTGCATTCTTATATAACCAAATATGCCTTTCAGTATTTGTATTAAAAGTATAACGACCAATATCTAAGAATGTGTAGATGGGACAGTGATATCTAGTATCAGCAGGTAAAAACGATTCGCCAACAAAACTTTTTTGATAACATTTAAATCATTTGTCATAAAAATATCCAAAAGAGAGGATGAGTGTTCTGTAAAATGAGTAGGTTCGTCAACAAGTTAAATGAAATTATATCTATACATTATATCAATTATACGATTAGGGTTAACAGCTAGCTGATTTTCATCAAAATCACCTGTAACTGGAATACTATCAGATTTATAATTAGCCACCATATCAATAGAATGATCAATTAAATTCCAAGTTTCATTTCCAGAGTTTGGTGGTCTATAAAAAGTTGCAAACATGATAATTTTATAATTGATCTGCAATTCAACCAAAATGCATTCAAGATAATTTATTTCAAATTCTGAACGTCGAATCGCCGTGATATTTTTGTTAACATACACAGCAATACCTCCACCAATCCTATCTGACCGTGATTTTACGAATGGGTCATAGAATTTAGAATTAGAAAGTTCACTTGATTTTTTTCTGTATCCGGTGATAACCAGATCTCGGTGAATGATGAAATATCATATTGCTGTAGTTTACTAAAAATTAAATCAGTTTTTAATAATAAACTCTGGACGTCGTAGTGTAATAGTGATAAATAATCTTGGTTAAGAATCGTTAAATCAGAAAAGGAGGAGGAATATTCAGGACCTGGGTTACTTTCAACATCTTCACAGCGAAGGAGTAATTTTAGAAGACAGGTATGCAATAAAATACACATCATCGATGAAAAACTTTCTACAGCATATACACACATGTATACAAAATCTGGGCACGACCCACAACGTAAGGAAAGGTACATAATGTAAGAAAGACATGACAGTAATATGTAGTACACCGTATACTTCAAGATTACTATTGCAGTATCAGTGTGATTGTTCAACTTTTCAATAGTACACACGTCTTTAGAAGGTTTATTCTGTACAAGTATATCAATATTTTATATACTGAAAGTAAATCGATTCCTAAATACAAAGTAAATCTAATTGTTTTCTCAAAGGTAACCGACTTGACCTCACATGATACAAACCGATACGGACACGGTGAGATAAATAATCAACAGGCATTATGTAATATTATACACATAGTAAGGGTATCTCTGTGTCCAAAGATAAACAGTTCGCAGCAGTCGAGGTTCACTAATTCAAAAATAGCGCCATTCGATTATATAATAAATAGAGTTTGGTAGTACGGCTGACTTATAAGTAGTATATGCATGAGGTAAGTTTCGTGATTCACCACAGTACAAAAACATAATAGGTTGTAACCAAACAGTAAAAAACAAATTGGAAATAGAATATTGCCTCGGATGACCATTGGGTATTGAGGGAAAGTTAGTAAATTAGCCTGTTTTCTACACAACATACAGTATATACTAACAATAAGATATATATTCTACACAGTGCAGTTACGACAGGAGATTCAATCGCTAACCTTACACATGATACAATGTTTATACCAACAATTAGATGTATACATATATACATGTAATACACATTTGTACTTTCAAAGATACGTATTATCACAAGTCTATCAAACAAGTCTTTAAACACACAAATATACACTCACAATCACACTCTCATATACACGTACAAACGTACGACCCTTGCACACACTCATGGTCACAAGTCTTCCGCTCACAGAACATATGCACATGCCAACATACATATACATGCATTCCTTATCCAACAGACTCAAACACACACACCATCACACTCTCATATACACGTACAAACGTACGACCCTTGCACGCACTAATGGTCACAAGTCTTCCGCTCACAGAACATATGCACATGCCAACATACATATACATGCATTCCTTATCCAACAGACTCAAACACACACACCATCACACTCTCATATACACGTACAAACGTACGACCCTTGCACGCACTAATGGTCACAAGTCTTCCGCTCACAGAACATATGCACATGCCAACATACATATACATGCATTCCTTATCCAACAGACTCAAACACACACACCATCACACTCTCATATACACGTACAAACGTACGACCCATTGCACGCACTAATGGCCACATGTCGTCCGCTCACAGAACATATGCACATGCCAACATGCATATACACGCATTCCTTATCCAACAGACACAAACACACACACCATCACACTCTCACATATACGTACAAACGTACGACCCTTGCACGCACTAATGGCCTTATGTCGTCCGCTCACAGAACATATGCACATGCCAACATGCATATACACGCATTCCTTATCCATCAGACTCAAACACACACACCATCACACTCTCACATATACGTACAAACGTACGACCCTTGCACGCACTAATGTCCACATGTCGACCGCTCACTTAACATATGCACATACCAAACACATATACATGCATTCCTAAAAAAACACCACACACACACACACACACGTAGGTTATGATGACACTTTACGATAATTCGAGATACGCTACATGTAGCTGTTACAACATTTCACTAACGTTGCACCTAGGCAACCACATCAACTCTTACATAGATACCACTACAACAACGTTGCTGAGCCAATACCAACATTATATGCTAACCATACAACCTTAGGTCCCCTCTTGTTTATCATTAGCATGCTGTCTGGGTCGTCATGCGTAAGATAAAAAGTTATAAAATGTGCAGTTGGGAATTACACATTCGAGTTGACCATTTAAGACAAAGTATATCGAGATGCCGAAAGCAGGGCTCACGCTGTCGGTAGCCAAAGTAGCCATTGGCTACTTTTATTTTTTATTGGCTACTAAAAATTCGATGTGGCTACTAAATTGACTACTAGGTTTTTAAAAATGGGGAACCTCTGTATCTTTGTCCCAGAAAACGATCCGTCTACAGCAGGTTTTTTTTCCATTAATAATAAATCATACAATCAAATTATATATAACATAATATTTACATTTATGCTGCATCCTTCCATTGCAATGCATTGAGAAGGCAAAAGTTGTCGTGGCACTATAACAAAATTTGCGATTGTAACGTCATCAATCTCTATTGTGACGTCATCAATTTCATTGTTATCAAGACTTAATCTGCTGTTCAAAGAACTGTCCAAAATAACCAAATAAAGCGTAACTACTGTAACAAGGAAAATTGCGAATATGAATAATGAATATATTAGCAAATATCGTTATGGTCCTATAACCCATATTTATATTGCTGACAAACTTACATAAATCCTTGCTAGGCTTTATTAACTTTGTCATCTAGAGCAATGTGTGTTATATGACCATAACAATATTTGCTAAAACATCCATTGCTTAAATATATTATATATTTATCACTAGTTAAAATAAAATTGTAACCTTGTTAATGTACCTGAAGGTCAAGTAAAACTGACAGAATTTTAAAAATGGTTTTATTTCTATTAAAAGTGTTTTGGATGGCGTCGAAAATATAAAAAACAAAGCTAGAATAAATGCATCATCATCATCATCATTCATCATCATCATCATCATCATCATCATCATCATTTTCATCGGTATGGCAAACAGAACTTATAAAGTATTACAAAGCTGATTGCATCAATAAATAAATTGGAGTATCATGGACTATTATGAAAAAATGTATATATATGTAAATGATATGACTAAATTATCATAAATCTAAAACGCTGCCTAAAAAAACGTAATAATATCAAAACTTAAAAGATATACGCGCTATATAAATGTTGTATATTTTTATTATTATATGAATTTTGATAAAAAAGTACACAAAACAAACAAAACATAAAAAGAAACAAAACAAACAAAACCCCACTCAGGGATAACGTAAAGCGTAAGATACAAAACCCCAGTCAGGGATAACGTAAAGCGTAAGATACAAAACCCCACTCAGGGATAACGTAAAGCGTAAGATACAAAACCCCAGTCAGGGATAACGTAAAGCGTAAGATACAAAACCCCACTCAGGGATAACGTAAAGCGTAAGATACAAAACCCCAGTCAGGGATAACGTAAAGCGTAAGATACAAAACCCCACTCAGGGATAACGTAAAGCGTAAGATACAAAACCCCACTCAGGGATAACGTAAAGCGTATGATACAAAACCCCACTCAGGGATAACGTAAAGCGTATGATACAAAACCCCACTCGGGGATAACGTAAAGCGTATGATACAAAACCCCACTCAGGGATAACGTAAAGCGTATAATACAAGCTATGCACACACAAAGCATACGTACATTGAAACATTCAAAACTAATCAAAAAATAAAGCTATAAGTTATGCTTGCACTAAGTATACATACATAAAACAACCCGAATATAATTAAAAGTGTAAACTGTCAGCTAAGCCTGTATTTCGCATACATACTCTTAAAAACCGCTCAATAATCATTAATATGAAAAGGCAAAGCATTAAAAGAGCGTAGCTTTTGCTGATCTCTGATATTATTTAAAGTCGGCTAGTCGAGGAATAACAATAAAACACAAGCTCTAATGAGATTAAGACCGACATAACAATAGGGAGACCGGGGCAAGTTCGGCCTTCTTTTTAAGTCCGTTCTAGTAAGTATGGCAGCACGGCCGTTTTTGAACATTATTTAATTATCCTATCGGAAGATCGGATGGCCGTAAGTTCGGCCCCCATTGGAATCAGCTTAATTATGACGTCATAAAGCATGCAACGTCAGATTTTACCGCCAATTTTACGAATTTGTATGTGTTACATGGGGCCGAACTTGCCACGGTATCATTGGCCGAAACTGTCCAGGCCCAAATTGATATTTCAATA